GGCTTTGCCTCTGTCTTGGGCTTATGCTGGGGACAGGGACAGTCTCTGTCATTTGCAGATTCTGGTCTTGGGAAGACTGGTTTTCTAGAATGGACTTTCCATCTCTCCTGAAGGCCAGCTATGGTTTGAGCTCCACACGTGGTCCTGGGCATCCAGGCCTTGATGTTGGACTTCTCCTATTCCCAGGCACCAAGAGATTTTTCCATTATTTTTCCATTATTCTTCTACAGTCCCAGGGTGCCTTCACCTGTGCCCTACAAAAAAGGTAAAACACCTAATTGAACGTCTATAGATAAAAAAAGCAGTTAACATTGTTCTTGCAGAAGACCCAGGTTCAAATCCCAGCACCCACATGGCAACTAACAACTGTCCCATAACTCCAGTTCCAGGGGATCCGACAGCCTCTTCTGTCCTCCGTGGGCATTGCATGACATGGGTGCACTTACCTACATGCAGGCATAACACTCATACACATAAAATAAAAATAATAGATAAAATATTTTTAAAAGCTTCATTTCATCCCTACCCCTCCACAAATTGTCAAAAAAAAAAAAACCACAAATAAAAAAAATGGGGTTGGGGACTGAAAGGGGGGGGTGGGAATATAACTTACTTACCTAGCATATGTGAGGCTCTAGATCCAATCCCCAGTACTGAGTAGGTGGAGGAGGGCTAGTTATGAAAGCTTCTTAGTGAAGATTCTTCTGGAACCGTCTTTACAGTTTTGTTTTGTTTTCATGTGTACGTGCGTATGTCTGTGTGAGTGTGTGCCATGTGAGTGCAGGTGCCTGAGGAACCAGAGTGTGGTGGATCCCTTGGAGCTGGAGATACAGGTGATTATGAGCTGCCTGATTTTGGTTTTGGGAATCAATTTGGGTCCTCTGCAAGAGCAGAAAGCACTCTTAACCACTGATCCATCTCTCCAGTTCCCCACAGGAGTCCTAATTGTTCTCAGTTGTTAATTTTTATTTCCCCTGGCAGAGGTAACGAAAGGACATCATTGGTATATCTATGTCCTGCTTTTATTTGATGAAGGAGTTTTCTGGAGTCTGAATTCATCATGGTGAATCCAGCATCCATGGGCCTGTCTTGATTACATATCTGTACCCTACAGCTTCAGGCTGGAAAAAAGTCTGCAAATATTTCCAGAAGTCTTCTTTGAAATAAGCAGAAAATAGAATAGAAAGTATTCTTTTAAACAGTGGGACAAAAAGAGAAAAACTAGTCTGTTGGCATTTTTTTAATTTATTTTCTTTTTATTTCATGTGTATGAGTGTTTTGCCTGCATGTATGTTAAGTACATCGTGTGCATGCAATGCCCATGGAGACAGGAAGAGGGCATTTGATCCCCTGGAACTAGAGTTTCAGATATTTGTTAGCCACCATGTGGATACTGGGAACTGAACCTGAGTTCTCTGCAAGAGCAAACAGTACTCTTAATAGCTGAGCCATCTCTCCAGCTCAAGGTATTTTTTAACTCCTTCAGCTGATTTCTTATATACATTATTCAAATTGTTGAATTATTGCAATTAGTATTCCCCCCCCCAAAAAAAAATAGCTCACTGGCATGGATCTGAAGATCAGAAGAGAAATTTGAACTCCAGGTAAAAATATAGTTCAGTTGGAAGGGTGCTTGCCTAGTATGCACAAAGCCCCAGGTTCGACCCCTAGCAACACATAAACCAGGCATGGTGGTGCAGGCCTGGAATCTTGGCACTCAGGAAGTGGAGGCAGGAGGATCAGAAGTTCAAGGTCAGGGCTGGAGAGATGGCTCAGTGGTTAAGAGTACTGGCTGCTCTTGCAAAGGACCCAAGTTCAGTTTACCCACATGGTAGGTAACAACGATCAGTGACTCCAGTTCCAGAGGATCTAATGCCTTCTTCTAGCCTCCGTGGGCATTGCATGAGCATGGGACACTTACATGCATGTAGGCAAATACCCATACCCATAAAATAAAAATAAATAAATCAAAAAAGTTTTAAAGAAGAAGTTTTGGCTGCATGAGGCCCTTGTCTAAAATGAGGGCTCTGATCATCAAGGTTATAGTCTCTGACCCTTCAGGCATCCTGAACCACCTTTGTCATAAAAAGAGGAACCTATTGAGTCAAGTTTACATCCCCAGATATCCTAGGTTGTGAGTTCATCCATTCGGCACAAACTTGACTCAATAGGCCGTAACATATATGACAGGACAGAAAGCATGAAATCCAGTGAGCTGGAAATGGGGGGGCACAAACTTGACTCAATAGGCCACAACATAAATGACAGGACAGAAAGCATGAAATCCAGTGAGCTGGAAATGGGGGGGTGCAGATAGGGGAGGGGGTCTAAATATGTGTTTATGAAATGCACAAAAATGCAATAAAATATATGTATTGAAAAAAGTAAAAAATAGAAAAATCCAATAACATGCGAAAATATTCATTGAACTAGATTATATGCGTGAAAGTATCAGACGTGTGTGTGTGTGTGTGTGTGTGTGTGTGTGAAACCATGAAAGCAATCATGCCATGCATATGGCACACAGACCCGAGTTCCAAGCTATTGCATATTTACTGACCTACGTTCAGTCTTTTCCTAGAAATCTTCTCCAATGTGTTTCTAGGAACACTCAGAAGTGTCCCCAAGTTTAACGTGATGGATGCTGGGCCCCTGCCATTCTGGAATCTTGGTCTCTCACAAGGGACCCCCACAGCAGTTCCTTGGGACAGAGGTCCTTTCTTTAGATCATAGCTTGCTCTCTCCAACCGTGTGCACTCCATATTTCTCAGAGAAGGGGTAAGGAATGGGTGGGCCCAGCTTCTCTATAACTGAAACCACTGCTCCATCTAACCACTGGGACCATTTTCCAGACTTCTTGCATAGGAATCCATTACCTCTTCTTCTTAACCTTTCTGCATCCCTGGGAACTCCAATCCATTAGACATGCTGGTATCTGTGCAATGGAGCATTTTGTCTGCCCAGAATCTCTCCCTGGGGAAACCATCCTTTCTCACCCAGTCATTGGGAGGTAGGCACTTGAACTAGAGGGTGTAGTCATGTGACCTGGGCCATGAGATCCAGGACTGCCCACACAGAGAAGTTCATCTTCAAGGCCACAGTGCTAGAGGCTTGGCACACACCCAGGAGCAGGTAAGAATCCTCTCCCAGCTTCCCTGACAGTCATTAGCAAAGACTGTGGGTTGTAAAGATGATTTGAGCAAACACTCCTTATTGCTGTATTGTCTGACACAAACAGTGACTCTGAAGTAACAGCAAAAGGCATCTATAAAAGTAGTAGCAGAGGGAAGAGAGAAATCCCTGGCAACATCGTTAGAAAAAGCAGCAGGCTGCAATCCCCACACTTAGTGGAGGCAGGATCAGCAGTTCGAGGTCTTCCTCAGCCACAAAGTAAATTTGAATTCAGCCTTGGCTAACTGAGACCCATCTCAAAAACAATAAAAATAAAAAAATAAAAAATAAAACTAGAAGTCCAAGTATAGGGTTTTAGTGTATCATTTAATTTTTGCTCACGCTACTTTGAATAGAATGCAAGTCCTAATTGAAATCTTGGAACATGTCTAAACTTCAATTATGTGTTAGATTCATGCTTCTTAAACAGGTCTCCTTGACCCCAAGAAAATGCAGGGATACGACTGTGCACCTGTTTCATTACTCCCAAATTCTATGTGACGTTTGGAAGGTCTGCTGGGAGCATCCAGTCTTTGGGGGGTTGGGGGACTACACAGCCTAGCTTACTGGATGCCAAGCAGCTGCATCATGTAGTTTCTGACTGCTCTCTAAATAAGCTCATGTGCACACAGATCACTTCTTAGATCTTTTCTGTATACACATACGATCTGTGTGTTCAACATACAATGTACATAATTAACAAACGTCAAGTCACCACATTTCCTGTATGGAGAATAGTTAATAACTGGGGTCATGGTGCCCCAAGTTGATCACTCAAGGTTGAGTTCCTTGGGTCAGACATCTGGGTATGTCTGGCAGATGGATGGTATTGGTGCCTGTAGAATTAATTTGTAGGGAATCCTAACATCAATAAAAAAAAATGTGTGAAAAGCAGATTAAGAGTGTCTCTAGCTTTCTGTGGGACCTTAAGGGAGCCACACTCAGCTGCACTGGAGCTAGTGACAACCCCTGAGGCAGGATCAAGAGCCGTGCCAGCAGTCTTTGGGGGCCTTGCACTGTTAGCCAGCGTGTGGGAACTGAACTCTCTCTGGGGGATCTCAGAAGTAGATAGGGTTCCTGACTGTGCTTCCATTTTCTCATCTATGAAATGAATACAGACAACTGATTATATCCACAAACAGAACCCTTTTCTTCTTTCCTTGTCACTGCAGAGAGACAGAGCAGGAAGACTGTGACCTGAGTCTTGGAACTCCCTAATCTTTTGTGTGAAGAAAAGTTCATTGATGGCATAGCTGAAGGTAAGAGTAATATGTAATTAGTACAAACTTAAGTCAAGTCAAAGGAATTTCTAAAATCAACGTTTGGGGCTGTGATAATCCATGACCCATTTCCAACAAATAGAATTTGCAGAAGTTTCTAAGAATGGGAAGCTACTCTTTATTTAAGTATCCACTGACCGCAAATACAGTGTCAAGGCAACATTCCATTATCCTGCCGTATGTATGTTTCCTTTAAATGTTGATGCCGATATATATCTTACAGAATGCATGTTATTCTTGCTTTATTATTTTAAACAGTTTATTTTGTAGAAAAGAATCTAATTCATAATTAAAGGCTTGGTCACTGATGTTAATATAGAAAGAGTTACTCAAGGTGACTTCAAGCTACAGGAGGTGCTGAACAGCCCTAGGGGAAGGGATGCTGACTAAGCTGTTGCCATCCCTGGGGCAGCCTGGTTTTCCTAATGAGCCATTCCACATGCTATGCTGTCTCTTGGCCCTCAGTTGTATAATTTTATGTAATTCTCTCATCTATTGTCTCCCTGCCTTTCACTCTTTCTGGTACCTATTAGCCTGACCTCTTATCCTTCAGTCCTTTTTAACTCTCTGCCCCCCATTCTCTTGCTTCTCCACCCCACCATCCTTTCGACCCTTCATCTCTTTTGCTCCCTTTTCTCTACTTTCCAACCTACTGTTCCTAACTTCCTGGTCTGGTTCCTCTGTTGCCCTGCTTTTTCTGTTAGAAACTCCCTTTTTTTCCCCTGCACTATTATCTTTTCCCAAAAGAGGACTGTTTTTCTGTTCCTTACTTAAGCTGGCGCTAACCAACAGGCTTACTGCTGTAAAGTTCCCTTTTATCTAAACGTTGCATCTTGAACAAGACATCTTTCATCTGGATGCCTTTTGTGAGCTTCTTTATTTTAGAATCATATAGGGAGAATTCCAAATCCCAGGACCTGTTATGCCTTATAGATTCCATTTGTTCTTTAAAATACTTCAGCCCCTGCATTACCGAGGGAGCAATTTTGAAACAGAACTTAAACCCCAAGTTCAAGGTGCTCTCTGTTTTCAACATGTCAAATAAGAACTGCAGACTGAGAGTCATCTCTTCACACTCCTCCTCCTCCTTTTCCTTCGGCAGCCTTGCCACCTCTCTTCGGGTCTCCTCCCCCAGCTGCCTCTGGTCCTCCTTCACCAGGAAGGACATGGCATAGAAAAACTCCTGGAAGCTAATGTGACGAAAGCTATAGAGCTTCTTGATGCCACACCCCTGGTGGTAATCACTGCTGGTCAGGAAAGCAGCCAGGCTGGGGCCATCTAGGTTGTGCTTTCTGAGGACATCTTCAAATAGCAACCACTGGTGCTGAATCCCCTCAGCTGCCAAGGAACACAGGCCCCTCAGAACCCTGTGCCGGGTGAGCTCAGAGCCACCCCACTGTCATCAGTGGGCAGGAAGGTGGACGCATAGGCAGTGAAGATGTCTGTGCTGTTGCTGGGTGTCTCCAAGACTTCCTGACCTCTCTCCATCTTCCCCTTCAGCCAGGAGCAGACGACCCAGCACATGCCTGGAACCTGATAGGCTTTGTAGAGAACGGCATTTTTTTGCACAAACTCAAATGCATTTCTGGCTTGCTCCTCATCTGTAAAATAGAATCTGAAATAATTCTCCCTCTCTTCCTCAGAGAAGCCCAAGACATGGACATGGCGCTGTTCACCCAGCGTGGGCTCCAGACTCTGCAGAGCTGAGGGCCGAGTGGTGATGAGAAGGGAGCAGGTGTGGAGAGACTTTCTCTTAATTAAAAGGTGCAGCACATACTCCACACGACTGGACTTCCAGTCCTGGCACTGTCCTTCGAAGGGCCTCTGTAACTCATCATAGCCATCCACGACAAACAGGAGTCACTCAGGCTGCCTCAGAATCTCTGTAACAGGAGCTTGATCATCCCCACAGCACCAAAAGATGAGCTTGAACAGGTCACACTTGGGCAGCAGGACCACTTCTCTGCAGCTCACATAAAAACATCAAACCGGCCTGGGTACAGGGTCCCTTGAGCCCAATCCTACATCAGTTTTTTGACTAGGGTTGTCGTTCCAGTGCCAGCAGACCCTTGCAGCACCACAACAGATGGGGCTGGGTAGAGCTCTGCTTCTGCCCCGAATAAAGCCTCTACTCCCGTAGAATCTAGCTCTTGGTCCAGGTCAGAACAGGCAGGTGATCCTGGACTCCCTGAACTGGACGTGGCCACCAGGAGCAGCTGCTTGAATCTGCTGTTAACACTCCAGTCCTGCCTCTTCTCTAAGCAGCACACATGCTCCCAGTATATGTCTCTGTAATCTGAGCAACACAAATGGGGATTCAAGTGGTGGCGTGGGAACCAAAAAACAGCGAAATAGACCCTTCAATCCCTGAGTCTGCTCTGTAGCCTCATCTTCTGCTCTCCCTAACACATATTGGTCTGAATATGATTGTTGGGGGAAACTATAGCATGTGTATGTGTGTGTATGTGTGTATGTATGTATGTGTGTATGTGTGTGGATATGTGTGGATATGTGTGTATGTGTGTATAAGTGTATGTGTGGATGTATGTGTGGATGTATGTGTGTATGTGTGTATGTATGTGTGTGTATGTATGTATGTGTGTATGTGTGTGGATATGTGTGGATATGTGTGTATGTGTGTATAAGTGTATGTGTGGATGTATGTGTGTGTATGTATGTATGTGTGTATGTGTGTATATGTGTATATGTGTGTGTATATGTATATATGTGTGTGTAAGTGTATGTGTGGATGTGTGTGGATGTGGATGTGTGTGTGTGTGTGCGTGTGTGTGCATGAATGCATGTGGAGGCCAGAGGACAACCTCAGCTGTTGGTTCTCAGGTGCTGCCTATAGTGCGCGCGCGCTGGGCGCCCTGGCGTGGTGTGCGCGGGCACACCTGAAGAGTTGCAGCGCAGGGATCGGTCCCCTGGTCTCAGCCGCACGCCCTGGAAGAAGGCGGGTCTGGCCCTGCGGGCTTCTCCGTGTCTCTGTGGGTCTCTAGGAGAGTGCAAGGCAGCTGAAGCTGGGATCCGCGAGCCAGTGACGGAGGAATGCTGCCCCCCAGGGAGACTAGATTGCAGGCAGGAGACACAGACTCAGCTCAGTCAGATTCCGTGGTACAGCTCTTTATTCCAAGTCTCAGTGACCCAGTTCCTGGTCTAGCTCCAGCTCCGCTTCTAGCTCCAAATTATTGAGAGAAGACGTGGGGGTAGTGGTAAAAGCTTTGGCTGATAGATACTTTGTGAGACATTCTGCATATGGAAGTAGGTTTCTGCCATGCTGCCAGACTGCTGACTGCTTGAAAAATCACACAGGAAAGCATGGTATTCCTAGAGCCAGAGGCCATGTTTATGTTATGGCATTTGTGGCAGGCACTTCAAAAGGAGAGTTAGGAAGATGCCAGGAAAGCACCCTGCTATGAAAGGAGTCTCAGCACATAACTCTGAGCTCGTGAGCTATCCGGATATGAAGAGACTTCTACTTCACATAACAGAGGCCCCCAACAGCTGCCCACCTGAGACAGGGTCTCTCATTGGCCTGGAGCTCACAAAGTGGACTAGGCTGGCTGGTCAGAAAGGCCCAAGGGTCTTCCTGAATCTTTCTCCCCAGCACTGGGATTACAAGTGAGCACCTCCATGCATGACTTTTCTGGGAAGTGAACTCAGGTCTTCATGCTTGTGTAGCAAGCACTTTACCAATTGAGCTATCATCCCAGCCTGTCCTCTCCATTTCTAGAGCATAGGAGCTCTCAAGAATGAAAGGAACCTGTGGGAAAGATCACAGGCACCAAGGGATCCTTCTCCCTTCCCTTCCCCAACCCTCTGAACCCCAAAAGATGCAACCGATGGCTGTTTAGGCTCCATTTTCCCCTTGCTGTCTAGGGTTGAGTTAGTCTACTGGCTCCCTTAGAGCAGGGGCACAGAAGACTGTCTTATAACAGAGGCAGCCCAGCCTCCTGCCAGGAAGCAGCTAGGGAGTCCCGCCCACACCCTGGTGTTGGAGACAACTGCCCTGCTTGAACTCTGCAGAAAGCATGCTGGACTGCATGTGCAAAGTCACCAGTACCTAAGATTGTCTAGGATGGCAGAGTCAGATAGGCACGCATGCCAACATAGGGTTCTGAAGTGCAGTGTCCCTTATGTCTATGTTTGGATTAGATAACAAACTATGCCTTAGTTGCACTGTTGTATGAATATCTGCTCTGTATCTTACAAACAGGCCATACTTTATTGCTAATTGTTTCCTGAGCTCATGCACAGAAATGTCCTTTGAGCTGCATACCATTTGCTTCTGAATGCCTGCTTAGAGCACCCCATCCCTGTAACTTAAACCTTGGAAATTAGAGGCTCAGTGCTCCTTGTCTCCCAAGGAGATTGTCTGCGTGTGACATTTTATTACTAGATACCTTGCCACCCCTCTTTGTGTCCACCACTACCCAGCCACACAGGACGTAGCATTTCTTGTTAGTAGGAATCGGTCCACCAATACTATCCCCAATCCCCAAGCCCTTCCTGCATTCCCTCCCCTTCTCCAGCTCAGCAGCCGCAGGTAGGAGGTGGGGTGTTATAGTCATAAGATACCATAATATTTCTATAAATAAATCCCTGTCTTCAGCTCAGGGACTGTACCCAGCATTCATCATAACCTTCAGCGGAGGCTACCTAGGACCCTGGGGCACTGGGTACTCTCAAGGAAGGAGAAGGCAGGGTGAGAAAAGGTGTAAATTACAGTCTTTGGGAGGATATGGGGATATTTGGGAGGTGGATCTCTAGTATCTCCCTGACCTCCCTCTCCCCAACTGCACTCACCATTCAGACAAACATGGTTGAGCTGGTTCACAAGCTCCATCAAGTTCATGGCCTTCAAGCCCCTGAGCACCACTCTCACAGCCTCCTGTGCGCCGTACATTAAAATCAGTCTAGATGCCAGGTCTACCTGACTCAGGCCTTCCAGCTCCCCTCGAGCCAGAAAAGGTTGGGTCATATCTCGCAAGTGGAACTTCAGCGTCTTGAAACTGTTCTCCTTAAGGTCACTCAGGGCCCAGAGCAGTGCCTCCTGGGGACTGTGGGCCAGCGTCGAGGCCATGGTATTCAGAGGTGATGATCCAAGTTCAAGCCAGCGATTGGGAGAGATGATAAGAAAGGGCTGGGCAAAAAGTAACCTGGAGACTCCTCCCCCACTCTGCTTCCTGGGGCCTTGGCAGGCTGTGAAGCAGAGGCCAGCGGAAGACAAGGTGCATGTAGAAGCTCCAAGAAAGGCAAGTGGCTGGGAATTTGTCTGATCACCCCTGCTCTGTCGGGTGGCATGTGTCACTGTGTGGGCAACTGGCCGAAAGGTCTACAGATTTCTTCTCCTTCCCTCCCTCTCTGCCTCCCTCCCGCCTGCCCTTCTTTCCCCATTCTCCCTCTTTCTCTCTTCCTTCCTTTGCACACACTTTGAGACAAGCACTCTGCCAACTGAAGTACACCCCCACATCCTCACATGCGTTCTTAAGAATTAATTGTCTTGTCTCCTTAAACTAATAGATAAGAAAAAATCATTTTTTAAGTTTTTTTAGGTTTCTAAAGTGAGCCTGCCCCTGATTGTGATTGTCTACAAAGCTGGTACATATTTGCTAGGACTACAGCAATCCAACAGGAAGTTGAGAAATCCCCATCCTCAGTCCACTGCCTCACATACCAGCATCAGGGGCTCAGCACTTCTGGGGTCCACAGCTCGTCTCCAATCTAGATAAGTAGTCAAGTTCAAATAATAGTAGTAAGAGGATCTGACAGGTTTTAGTGCTTATTTCTTCAACTTAGTATTTACTTAAGGGAAGAAAGGCAATGATTGATAAAAAAGCTTTCAGGATCCAGGAGACTCCACTCAGCTAATGTCAGTGAGGAATCCATCTGTCTTAGTTTGTTCTTCATTGCTGTGACAAAACACTCTGACCAGTACCAACTTGGGGAGGAAAGGGTTTATTTGTCTTACATCTCCCAGGTCGCATGCAGTTCATCAGGGAGCCCAAGGTAGGAACTCAGGGCAGGAACCTGGAGGCAGGAGCTGGAGCACAGGCCATGGATGAACGCTGCTTACAGGCTTGCTCCCTTGGCTCCTGCTCAGCCTGCTTTCTTATGCAACACAGGCCCACCTGCCCAGGGATGGCACCACCCACAGTGGGCTGGGCCCTCCCACATCACTCATCAAGAAGATGCCCCACAGACATGGCCACAGGCCAGTTCAATAGAGGCAATTCCCCGATTGAGGCTCCCTCAACCCAGGTGTGTCAAGTTGACACTAAAGCTATCCAGCACACCATCTCAGGAGTACTGTCTGAAGACGCTCAAAGGAGTATTTAGTGGTGATGGACTTACTGAGACTCAAATGTTAGTGTTTTGACTGCATACCAATGAGAGATAGAAACCTTCCAGGGGCACATTAGGACACAGGGGCTCTGGCCACAGGTCGTAGGCCTGCGTGAAGTAGCAGACCTACAGAGGCAGGAACACAGCAGCCAGAAGACCCCGGGCTCCTCTGATGCTTAGAAAGCTAATCAGGAAAGAGCACAACACTAAAGCATGCCAAGAAGATTCCAGACTAGGCTGTTCAGGCTCAGACTTGGTGAGCCATAGGTGAGGCAGCTGTAGGTGAGGCAGCTTCCTGGACAGGAAGACAACAAACAAGGTGCCTAGGAGAGATGGAATAGATTCTTCTTCAGCTCTTCAGGCCAAATCTAGGTCCTCTTAGCCTTAATCCACCACCTCACCTGGTGGGGTTGAAATTAAAAATAAAGGTGTGAACCCTCAGACAATTATTGTCTACCTACAGGCCTAGTCGGGGGAGGGGCTGGAACCCATGAAGTATCTCACTGAGCTGAGAGGCAGAGATGTCTACACACTGGATCTACACCGTGGCATGAGTGATTGCTCACCAGGAGGAAACCTGACCTCATTCTGTCAAATATTAAGCTTGAGAAACAAGGGAGGGACTAAAAGTACCAGAGGAAAGACAGAAGACGGTCCCTGTCCCTCCCTGAAACCTCTTGTCACCTTTACAACTTGACCCCAATCCAGGCTGGGGAAGTTTGACTAGAGACAAAGGAAATGGAACGCAGTCATCACATCTTCAGCCACTGTACTTTTTCTTCAAATTATGGAACTACTACAGGATGTGCTCCAGCAAGATAACAGAGGAGGAAAACAGGAGCTCTGTGAAACAGAAGTGCACACACGTTCCTAAAAGGAAGCTGGTCCCTGGTCTAGCTCAGACATGAATAATATTTGCATACAAAAAATAGTGTAATCACTGAAAAACTAAAATTTATACTATAACCACAACAAAAGCATTATGATAGAATGTTCTAGAATAGAAAGTTCAATAGGTGATGCCTAAAAACTGGGCATGGTGGCACACGCCTTTGATCCCAGCACTCTGGAGGCAAAGACAGGCAGATAGATCTCTGTAAGATCCAGTCCAGCCTGATCTACACAGTAAGTTCCAGGCTACTTGGGGGGCTATAAGGAGACCCTGTCTCAAAAAGACCAAAAAAACTAAAAAGATCATGGCATACCTGTGCTGTTTAGAAGTACAGAGACATAAAGGGGCTGGAGAGATGGCTCGGTGTGTAAGAACACTTGCTATGCAAGCGTGAGGAACCTAAAACACTGGGTGTCGATGCATAAGGATTATTGGGACTCAGCCTAGTTCCAAGCTTGTCTCACAAGAATAAGGTAGAGAGCGACAGAGCAGGACACTGGACATCCTCCTCTGGCTTCTATGTATATACAAGGTTCACGCACCTGCATACATGTGTGCACATCACATACACCACACTCACACATACACACAACACATTCATTAAAAAAAAAAAAAACACAGACGTACAGAAACACAAGATGAAACAGTTAAAAATCTAAAGTACTTGCCTCAAGGAAGAAGGACGAGGGCAGTGAGAAAGACAGACCCGTAGTTGATTTCTAAATCATGAACATATATTACTATGATAGACTAAAATTTCGTCCAAGAAAAGATGGAAAGTAAATAAGCTGAGGTAACACGGATCACTCTTTCAGGAAGCTTGGCAGCAAGTGGAATTTGAAAGGTGATATGGGAAATGTGGGGTCAAGAGTTTTTCTTGGTTTTCAGTGGACAAGGGGATATATTTACATGACAACAAAGAGTATCTAAAAGAGGGTCAGGTTAGAAATCCCAAAGGAATTGAGGATGGCGACTGCAGTAGGATTCAAAGCAAAGCCAAAAGACTGGCTTTTCAGTGAGAGAGGCTGTTTGGCAGAGAGGCAGGTGTGTGGGTTTCATGGACTGAAGGTGAGCATGGGCACATCTAGTAGACACTATTTTCTGTATGACAAATAAGTAACAGGATCCCAAGTTTGAAGACCGTGGGTGGTTGGAAAGGAGAGAAGCCAGGAAGTAAATGCTGCCAGCCCTCTTCCCAAGAACCTTCCTTCCTTCTCCTGGTTCTCCAAGGCCCCAGGGCCCAAAGCACAGGGCACACTCTCCCAGAGCCCAGGAGAAGGGGCAGGAATGAAAACAGACTTTCCCGAAGCCTTAATCAAACTGTGCCGAGAGGCAGAAAAAAGAGCACCAACAGTCAAGAATAAAAAGCCAAGATAGGAAAACAAAAGAATAAGATATGACTGTGCCCACAGCACAAAGGAGGCCAGAGAGTTCACTTACTGTGATGGCTCCAGGTCAGAGATTCCAAGTCACATCTAAGGAAGTATTAGTACAAGTGAGATGCATAAATACCAAGTTTAATTGGAGGGTGGAGGCAAGAGATCAAATGAGACCTCCCTTTCTGTGAACCCTGGCCTGGCTTGGGGCAGAAATGGCAACTAGAGAAATTGAGTTCCCAAAGGGAGAGGATTAAAAACAGAGGAAACCAGGCATGGTGGTGCACACCATTAATCCCAGCACTCAGGAGGCAGCAGCAGGTGGATCTGAGGTCAGGCTGGTCTACATAGTGAGTTCCAGGAGGACTGAGGCTACAGGGAAACCCTGTCCCAAGGACAGAAGTAGAGAGAAAACAAGTGAGAGATAGAGACATGAAACACAGAATTTAGCAGCAACACGAAGGGAGCGAGGAGAGAGGTAAGACAGGGCCCTAGCTGGTGTGTGCGGCTCCCTCCATCTCGAAGGAGGTGGGATGGGTATACCACCCTACAGGCCCACCTTTAAGATGATCCCCTGGTAGATGTAATCCTGGATTTTTCAAGCATAATTTCTTAAATATGTTCCCCAGGACAACCAAAAATTTAGGCGTGATGGTTAATTTTATGTATCAACTTGCCTAGGCTGTGGGACACCCCAAAATTTGGTCAAACATTCTGGGAGTGTCCATGAAACTACTTAGGATGAGACTAACATTTAAATCAGTAGCTGAGTGTAGCATATTGCACTCCCAAATGTGTGACCCGTCAGTGGAGGACTTGAACAAAACAAAAAGCCTGACCCTCCCATGAATAAGAGGGATCTCCTCTTAATGACTGAACAAAAATCCATTTTAATATATCACGTTTCCTGTCACTTACGAGTCCTAGAATCAATCTCTGTCCTCTCTCTCTCTCTCTCTCTCTCTCTCTCTCTCTCTCTCTCTCTCTCACACACACACACACACACACACACACACATAAAATATATAAACACAAAATAAAATAACCATGGTGGGCAACTTCTAAGGAATAACCCCAGAGGTTGACCTTTGGTCTCCACACATATGTGAAGGAAGGGTAGCTCTGTGTTCTCCACACATTCATAAACATGTGTTGTATTGCTGGGGCTTGCTGCCTTCTAGCCTGTCTCTAGGTTCAGTCTGAGACCTTATCTCAAGGGAGTAGAGAATAATAGGGCAGAATACATGATGTCCTCCTCTATGCATGCTCATGAATATGCACACCTGCACATACATGTGCACATGTACTACACACATGAACATACACAAAATCTTTAAAAAAAGAGGGACTAGAGGCAGGCAGATCTCTGTGCGTTCAAGGCCAGCCTGGTGTACATAATGAGTTCCAGGTCAGCTGGAGCTATTGCACATACATGTGCACATGTACTACACACATGAACATACACAAAAT